GGCGACGGCGGCGTCTTGCGCCGTTGTTGGCGTACTCCTGGACGTTGGCCTAGCTTCAAGGAAGGCCAAAATGTTCTGGACTTCGGAGCGAGTCGACTGGCGGGAGGAGGCGACTGGCGTTGGTGCAAGAAAGCGGTCGACGGCGGCCATCCATGCCGCTGAGGGGGGCACTGGCACCCGTGCGGGGACAAGCGCTATCAACGGGGCGGCGGAGACATTCGTGTGCACGGGCACCGGCACGGGCGCGCACGTCAGTGCACGCGCAGGCACAGGCGCTGGCAGGTGCACGGGCACCGGCACAGGCGTGCGCGTCAGTGCACGTGTAGGCGCATGCGGCTGCAGGTGCACTGGCGCGTGAAAGTCGGCGGGCACCTCGTGGAACCCCGTGGGATCAAGCTCGGCGACAATGTGCAGCTCCCAGCCCATCAATGCCACGGGGATGGGCGTTGGCGCAGTCGGGCGACGGGAGCCGGAACGGGAGCGGGGACAGGCGCGGCGTCTTCCCGCAAGGCCAGTTCAAGCTCGTCCCAAAGCGCCTTATGTTCTTGAGACTCCGGCTGGGTGTCTTCCTCAGGAAACTGGAACACTAAGGGCAGACCATCGTGATGCGGCATGGCGTACGTTTAGGTCAGGCTAGTTGGAGGTAGACGATAGGAGAATCGGAGAGGAAGAGAGAGGATTGTAGCGATACTCCCTCCTTTCCGATTTATAAGGCTCAATTCAAAAATCTCACCAACCAAGGTAGATGGTGAGTGGTGGAACACTTTTTGTAGTTTGCAAAAGCACCCAATTAATGCTCTTGTTTTCCTCAAAAAATATGTTTACCAATGCATTAATTGCAATGCATGCATGCATAAATTACATGCATTGGTCAATTTTCTCTTAATACTTGCATACAATGATTTAATTTACCTTGAAATCTGAACATGTGATGGGAAACAACAAAATTGAGCCTTATAAAATGGAAAAACTAATATTTTGAGATAAGCCCTATAAACCGGAAAGGAGGGAGTACCGGGTAGTGCGGGGTTGATTTTAAACTGCGGCGCCAGCGACATTAAAAGTGGGAGCAGTTGGGACGACGGTGGGCGGCGGAGCCTGGTCAAAGGGCTCGCCTCCCGGTGAGCCTGCACAGCGGTCTGCTCGCACGCCTCCCTGACAGCCGGCGCAACGGTCTGCTCGCACGCCTCCCGTCGACTCACACACTTGCTTGGACGGCACCTGTCGATTGCCGATGAGAAGCGGGGACTCGTGGTGGCACGTAAACGCCCACGGTTTCAATAGTGAAAGCGTTTGCCTTAACGTGACAGGTCTTTCTTCCAAAATACCTTGGCTCTTCATTTGTGCAACTTGTCATAAGTAGTTTGTCTCAAATTGAAGAAAAAACTTACAAAATAATATTTGTGCCATATCACGTGACCATGCTTAGTTTCAAGAATTTATGCTCACTTTTGGATTTTCAGAAATTTAAGGTCCAGGATTCGAAACAATATCATAACCTGCATCATGCAATAAATTTTCAAGTCGTACATCTGTCCTGTTGTATTTCTTAAGAAAGGATTTGGTCAAACATTTTGCTTAGTTAGACTTCAGACAAGTTATATACGCAGAGTAAAAGGATAATCCCTCCGTACCAGTGCATTGCCTGATATATTAACTCAAGTAATAGGCACGAACAAACAGGCTCAATTCTGTGCTCATCCTGTAGTAGTAGTAGTAGTAGTAGTAGTAGTAGTAGTAGTAGTAGTAGTAGTAGTAGTAGTAGTAGTAGTAGTAGTAGTAGTAGTAGTACTAGGCAATGCAGTTGACGGGTGACCTTGACGAGCGGCGACCGAGGGAATTGAACCGTGCTCGACACGGTAGGTAATGTTGTCTAGTTACTAAAGCATCCCTCCGTTATTCATCGGTAGTCATTATGGACCGGGGACATGAGGGGAATTTCCTAGGGCTGGAATTCTGGCCGCCAGATATTTCGACTTGAAACGCTGAGGCTCGACTGATTGGGGTAATGGGGTTGCCTAATGTGCGTACCACGCACGCCACCGAAGGACACGAGCCCGCTTTTTTTAGGATCAACACGAGCCAAGGTGTGGCTGGTACGCCGTTGGGTCCTACCATTCGAGAATACGAAATGAACCTTTTAAATTGCCGAACGAATCTATGTGTATTACAATACCCGTATTTTCCTTGCAAATACTAATCTCAACGTGGTAATTGATTTATGACGAGTTGTTGAATTAGAGTGAGTTTGTGATATAGTGATCTCAACGTGGATTTCACATTTCATGGTATCCCTAGTACGTTTTCCAATGCAAATTCAAATTTAAAAGATGAACAACATGGAGGTGAGAAAACTTTGTCTGTATTAAGCATATGACCACACACACACACACACACACAGACACACACGCACGAACACAACAACAATCCAATAAGTATAGTGCATCTATTTCTCCAAACCATGCATGTACGACACGAATTCAAAAATACTCCTTCTATTCCTAAATATTAGTCTTTTAGAGAGTTCAACAAGTGACTACATACGGAGCAAAATGAGTGAATCTAGACTCTAAAATATTTCTATATACATCCGTATGTGCCAGTCCATTTGAAGCCTCTAAAAAGACTAATATTTGGGAACGAAGAGAGTAAAATGTAAGACATCCATGGTCCTCAGTTCAATATTTAAAATGAACATGAAACTGAAACATGAATATTAAGTCTATTACTACAGTACATGCAAATGTTCTGTTTAGCGGAGCTATGATTGTCGGGGGGTCAACCCCTCGACCTTAGATAAAATTGTGGAGCTCCGTTTAGGGTTGTTTAGATTATATTTGTCCCCACCCTCCCAGCCACCGATTGGTTGTGCACCGCCACCCCTCCTCCCCGGGAGAATATCATGTGCCCCCATACCTTAGATGCTATATGCCGATACGAGTTGCTTGGAGCTTGTAGATCTAAGATATAGCAGCTCACATGATGTGTCTTAATATTTCCGCAGGAAACCTTGATGAGTTTGAGAATTGCACACAATTTGTACAAAAACTACTTAGATGCCCTTTGATCCCATATCCAACGACCTCGAAGCTCGTATCACCGTAGCATCTAAGATGAAGGAGGGCATCATATTCTCCTGTATGTAAGAATATCATGTGCTACCACACCTTAGATGCTTTGGTGATACAAGCTCTTGGGAGGCGTTGGATTTGTGACCAACACCTGCTCGGTGGTTCGAATGATTTTTTGCAGAAAAGCCCCAAAAGAGTTCGGCCACTGCTTACAAGCACAAAGACTGCTCAGATGCCATTGGACCTCAGATCAAACGACCTCCAAGCTTGTATCATCGTAGCATCCAAGCTGCGATAGCACCTTATGTTTTCTCGCACGGGATAGTATGAGGTGCTCCCGCACCGTAGATTCTATGGTGATACGAGTTCACTGAGATCTAACGGCCCACAATAGGAGGTTTGAATATTTTTGCAATATACGGCTGATAGAGTTTGGGAAATGCGCAGAAAGTACAAGTACTACGCATGTGCCATCTGATCACTGATCATATGACCTAGATGCTCATATCACCGTAGCGGGTAATTAAGCTACGGGGAGCACCTAATATGAGCACCGGGGAGCCGTTGGATCGAAGATGCAGCGGCACACACAAGGCCTGAATGTTTTATTTGCAAAAAAACCTTTGGAGAGTTTGGAAATTGCGCTAGTCACTCCTTTCATGCATTGCATCATACCAAACTATAAATATGACATTTGAACATGTTTACTTGCCAATGTTTTTCCAATACACTAAAATTAATGAACAACACATAATTATGTAGTCACAAATTAATGACAACATTTTCCCCTTAATTTCTCTCGCTGAACTCTACAGTGTCATATTAGTAAATTATACCGCCATGTCTACATGATCTAACGGGGGTGTTTGCTACGGCTGATGAGGCGGTCCCTTCATATTGTTTCCGAACATGAAAATCAATGCCTCTCTACAAAATCAACCTTGTAAATAACTTTAATATGTAAGCATGAAACTGGTACCTAGGTACTAAAGTTTGATTCTATGATTTTTTTGTGCGCCGAGTTGCTCCTTTTCTGTAACTAGGGCTAGGCATTTCATAGTGACGAAGCTTGGACAATGAATTAAAATTATTATGGGTACATTGTGGTTTTATGGCTAAATTTCTAACAATGCCCACCACTGAAGCTGACAATAATGTCAAATCAGCCTATGTTGTTCATCATTAAGATTTTCTGGTGTATGTAAGATTGTGAGCCATGTAAAATAACTAAACTATTCTATTTTATCTATGGTGTCAACTCTGATTTATTAAAAAATAATTGAAACCAACCAACTTCATGCCAAGCTGGTAAATATATTAATTGGGGCTAGCTCCCAAGCCATACTCTTGCAATTTGTGGCAACATATAGTCCACTATATAAAGATTACAACGTAGCTACACAAGCATCGAAAAACACAAAGGATGGATACAATTGCTTCAGCTTGACTGAATTTTAAAAGGTTTCTATATACCTTTTCGAGTCGCCATCGATATATATATGGGAAGGCGTAATCGAGAACATTAAAAAAATACATCGTGATGTTCTGGGTTTAACGGAGATTAAAATGACTTGTTTGGGTGACGTCCATACAACAAGTTATCCAAAACTTTGGGTAACGTTTATGAATATGTTGTAAAAAGATAAACTCTTCTTGCACTAGTGATCATAGAAAGCATGAACGAACTTTGGCTAACTAACTTTCTGAGGCCACACTGCATTTGAACCCCTCCAGGAACAAATTATTGAGACGTTTATTGTGCCTGAGACATCTGGCCACCCATTCAAGCACTTTGATTAGCACTATGTTGTCCTCCACGAGGATTGAAAGCAGACTCCCCCTACTTGTGCATTCATCAGACCTCTTTGAAGCTACACATGTGATTGCACTCCAGCACCATGTGAAAGATTTTGAATCCCGCTGAGCCCCATGATTCCGCACCTGCAAACTGGATCTGATGGATACCTTGGTTCCGCGGTTGCTCCTATGGACCAGGTGGAAATTGCAAAGTTTTGCAAACAACTGAGATCGCTGAAGCACGTTGATATCATTGTGAGGCCTGTCAAGCTAAAGAAAGAATACCAAATCCACAAGTGTTGTGATGTGATGCAGCGATGGCGGGCGTTTTGGTACGATCTAGGCATTATCATCGCAAACTTGTTGGATAGTTCTTTCACTTCCCGGCAGCGCTCGAATTGACGAAACCGAGCATTACCAGGGAAATCCTCTCGCTTCTCCAAGTCCCCAAAGCTTGGTTGTTTGATATAACCCTTTTACTCCCCGTTCAATGTATTTTTCTGACCCGGATGGGTCTGCGGACGTTTGATGTACCATGTCAGGTGACAAAAAGTGTTTGAACCGCGTGGTTCAGACCGGATTTGATGCATACTAGGCTACTAGCATTGGAGTTGCCCTAACCTTTCCATATGCAAGCATCATCATCACTAGTTTAATCGTAGAACGAGATAGTCCCACGGTTCATTTCAGCGGCCACCGACGGGAGGCACGTGCGACGTTGTTTCTCCACTACTATTAAACAATCAAACAAGAACTTTCTTACGTGCACCCTGTAAAACGTACACGGATTCATTATGACCGCATGATTAAGCCCAGTAAACTCAATCTAACGGCTAGCCTTAACCTAATCCATTCTCTGTGTGCACTTAACAATTTACATTGACTGACCGTGCTTCATCATATGAAACTCCACGTCCGATCAATTAGGAAACTATAATCATGATCGCGTTTTCTTAGGAAACTAATCACGATCACATCTTCTTAGGAAACTAATCACGATCACGTTTTATTAGGAAACTAATCATGATCGCATTTTATTAGGAAACTAATCACGATCGCATTTTATTAGGAAACTAATCGGGTATATTCGCACACATTGACACGTCCATCACCTCGACCTCCTGGATCACGATCCTATCTCTCCCAAGAAAAACCACCACAACCGGACTCCACTCAGCGGCGACAAGGAGCCAAGGACCAACAACTCCTTCTCAGGGGACGCTGCCGGAGTGCCGGTAATTCGTGAACCGTCGAGGGTGCCGCACCGGTCGCCCCTTCTCAGGGGATGCCGTTGGAGTGCCGGTAATTTATGTTGCTTGTAAGACAACTGCCCAGCCAGCATTTATGGTTTCTTGCGAACTTACACGACGTGTCTGTGCTGACTTGTATTTTTCAAAATAAGGTTTCTATGCATTACTAACCAGAGTGTGCTATCTTTATATCTTCGGTGTTTCTTAGCAGATGTCGTTTACATGTGTCATCAACACATCATTTGTTTTTTCTTAATTTGTAACACTTGTACTGCTGGAGTTGGTTTATTTTAAGTTGTTACATTTGGAACTCCTTTCACTTCATAAAGGGGCTGGATGGTCTAAATTGCAAGATGTGATTTTTTTCTCTCACATGAACCATCTATAAATAAATATTTTTTTTACTGTTCTTCTACGTATAAATACTTTGAGGTCCTTTCGCTGTTCATTCGGTTAATGGTTAGGAACTAATGACCATCAAATTATTTTTATTGTTCGATAGTATTACACATAAGTGGGTGTAAAGGAAAACTATCAAAAATGGTCATGACTTGCATTTTTTTTCTTATTTTCTACAACTGGTGCTTCTCCATATGTCCCCATTGTGTTCCGGGATATTATTTTGTACTATTGTTTTCCTATGTCTACCCTTGTATTTATTCAGCGCATTGTTCTTTTCGCATTTTGGCATGAAAGCTTGCTGGCTTGGAGGAGGATGAACACAGATGAAAGAGGGGAAACATTGTAGAATTGTGTATGTTGCTTGCCAAGTTTAGCTTTGGATTTTTAGTGCTTTGACACTTCGTGCAGAATGAACTAAAAATTTACATGTCAAAAGCATCTTGATGCATATAAAGAGTAAACGGAGGCATGAAATAACGAGTTGTATGGGTTGATTTATACTCTCCAGTTTTATGTATATTTGTGACTGTGTGTACCAGACATGAACATTCATCGTTTCATGCGTTGTCAAGCTTTCCTATATGCCATGAGACGCAAAGCAACCTTTTATCTACCACATGTTGGCATCTACTTGAAATGCAACCAATAATTATACGTGCGTTGCACGTGAACACTTACTAGTTGCAGAGAAAAATGAGAAAAAAAGGGTTTCCACGCGTCTGGTCAGTTGGTCTAAAATCGGGCTGGCCTGCTGGAGCCTGGTCCTCTCCCAGCGCATTGTTGATTGATTCACGGGAAGAGCGAGACGAGACGCCAAGAAGTCGGGCAAGTCGTGAGGCCGCCTGCCTCCGCCCGCCCAGGACTCGATCTCGATCCCCGTCCTCCTGCCCGCGAGCCAGATTGGACGCCGCGGGAGCGCCCAGATCCCGCCATGAATCCCGAGTAGTAAGTCCCTCCCTCCTCTG